GCTGTTGACTCTTTTTCATGATACTCTTGCATTACTCTTGTTGCTTTTCCCAAGTTTTCTTCTGTTTCTCTAATTGATTTTTTAAATCCTTTTTAAGCTCTTCCAAGAATTCTTTTTGGGCTTGAGATCAAACTACATTTTTCTTTGAGGCTTCACATGTAGCCATTTTGACACGATTGTCCTCTTAAGTTTATGCCTTAATCCTCCCTATCACTATAGTAACTTTCTATAGTCAAGCTCTTTTTTTGTTTTGTTTTGTTCTTCCTTTTTTTTCTGCCTGTTTTTGACTTGGTATTTTTTAATGTGAAAATTGGGCTCTGTTCCTGCACTGTCCCAAGCTTTTTGTTCTGGATCTTACTGCTGGCTTTTACTAGGCTTCAGGCTTAGCTGCTTGCTTTTTCTGGAGGGTAGGCTTCCCTTCTGGCTTGTGTAGGGGGTTGTGGGGGTCTTCCCTGTTGCCTCCCCTGGGTGTAGGGTTTAACTGCTGGCCTGCTCCAAGGGTGGAGTCTCACTGTTGGCCAGCCCTAGGGCAGAGCTTCACTATTGGTCAGCAGTGGGGTCAAGGCCTGGCTGGTGGTGATGTTGCTGAGGTGAGGTTTTGTTGTGCTTCCCAGACTGCTCACTTGTCTAGTGCTCTGCTGGTTTGCAGGCAGGTGGGGCCTTGCTGGTGGATTGCCCCAGGCTTGGAGCCCTGCTGTGAGGCTGGCTGCTGCTGCCCTTGGACCTTGCCCCCTTCCCTCCCCAGTGAGACAGACCATTCCTGCCAGGCTGGTAAGCTGCTTCCCTGTACCTAGATCATTTCTGAGGCAGTTTACTTGTTGTTTGGAGGGGAATTTGAGAGGGCTTCAGAGGGTTTCTTCCTCATTCCACCATCTTGGCACCAAAAGTCTGTTTTTCAACAATTTTGTGTGTGTATGTGTACATACAAAATGAATTCCGGGAATTTATATTTTTAGAAAATATTAAACATTTTTTTCCTTTTAAAAACTAATTTTGGCATACATTAAATAGTTTGTGGTTCCTTATTATAGTGATGCAGAGGTTGCACAAAACCCATAATTGGAAACACTAGATTGCAAACAGAGTTCCAGCTCTGTATATCACCAAAGGATGTCCTGCTTCTTTGTCCTTTGCATCCCTTACATAGGTTCTTAGCTCAAGAGTCTGTGCTGATACCCCAGTCTTTGTTTTGTATCTCCCCATAAAGTAGCTAAGTATACAATCACAAATGTTCACAGTTAGGTTCTTAGGCTTAAAATAGAGCTGATGACTAGTGCTTTCTAAGTCTTAGGATTTGTTTTTTTTTTTCCTGATTTTTAAAGTGATGGTATATTCATGTGTCTTGATGCAGTGGATTGTGAATAGAATGCAATTGTATATACTTGCTTCAGATAGAAAGCAACATAAACCACCTACCTGAGTTCAAATCTGGCCTCAGACAGTTAACTGGCTATATGGCCATGGGCAAGTCACTTAACCCTGCTTGCCTCAGTTTCCTCATCTTTAAAATAAGCTGGAGAAGGAAATGGTAAACTGTTCCAGTATCTTTACCAAGAAAACCCCAAATAGCATTTCAGTCATGTCTGACTGAAAAACAACAAAACCACAGCCAGGACTGGTTTACTCCCAGCTAGCTATACTTTTTAAAAAAAGGTCCTGAACTTAACCTCTTTCCTTGCCAAATATCTTCGTCTGTTGATTTCAGTAAGTTTTGTTCCATCCATGATCTACTGTATATAATAGCCATTTTGAGGTTTTCTAAGGGTATATTAATATTAGAAACAAGGGAAGATGGGCAAAAAGTCTCCCTCTTACCTTTTTTTAATCTCTTTTTGTTTTTCATTTTTGTTAACTTCAGTCCAGTAGGGAAAGATAGACATAAGATGATAAGTATGATGAAGGTTCTTCTACCTTTCAGAGGAATACATGTAGTCCATTATTGTTATTGTAGCAGAGGACTTTGTGGGCCAGGGAAAATGGTTGACAAGATGAGGAAGTTACCAAGAGACCATCTGGGCAGTGGAACTGTGAGCCTGATGGGGAGAGGGTAGATGGTGACAGGAACTTTAGGCAAAGCAAGGTGTATAGTGATGAGAAGGAAGGAAGAAAATGTGGCTGGAGCTGGAAGGAAAGGATAAGTTCAACAATTCCAGAGTGAGGTCCAGTTTTACAGTCAATTTAATAAGAGTTACTGTTAAGATTCACTGCACTCACAGCTCCACGCTTTTTAGAACTCAACGTTCTCTTCTAAGAAGATAGATAAAAGCAAATTATTTTGAAAAATATGGGGAAAAACAATAATGTTATTAATGCCTGGCATGTGGTACGCATTCAATAAATGCTTGTTTAATTGAATGGTGTCTTTTAATATATTGACAAATACAGTAACTCCTAAACCTCGGGAGGAAGAGCATAAACAACTAGTTTCTGTCTTTTGAGTCAACATGCATCTAGTCCATTTAGCAAGCATTAAGTTGATAGAAAAAATATATGCAACATTTTCCTTAAATTTATGGTCTAAAAAAGAGAAATGAACTGTATACAAATAACTGTGATTACAAAAGAGAAATGACAATTGTAAGAGTTGTACATGACTGATCAACAAAATAGTTTGAACATATGTATTCACCAAGTATGGACATGAATATGCGTAATATGTTCAATGTCAAGAATAACTAATGAAACTGGTGTTTGTGTGTGTGGTTTAGCTCACTTCTCAACAGAAATACACATGCTGGGAACTCCGTGTCCACCAGCTATTAACCAACCAGCTAATTAATGGCATCATGCGTTTCTCAATCCTACTGGTTCATTTTAACAGTTTCTCTATGTACACCTATATGTTTAAACATGTGCACAGAGCTAGTCCAAAATATTAAGAAGTTCAACAGACAAAATACCTGAATGGATTATTTTAACAAAAATAGCATCCAGTTGACCAACCCTGAAAATTAGAAGCTGGTTGTTCTAACCCAACTTGGTTCTCCCCAGCCCCAATAGAAATCAGAGCTCCTTCTGGGTGTTTTAGGCCTTGAAGTTGGCAGATCTCAACTATTCTTTTTGCTTTAGGAAAATTGACAATTAAATTTGGATAGAGATGCATTAGGTAGTTGTTCAGTCATTTAGTTGTCTGACCCTTCATGACCCCATTTGGGAAGGAAGTACCTGCCTAAATAACCTTTTTTTTCTTTTTCCCTGTAGACTTGCACCTATTCACAATAATATATATATGTATATTTCAAAGTGGCCAGGGTCACAGTCAATCAAATTAATTAATCAAATATCTGGACAACCCTGGGAGTGTAGGCTGGCCTCAAGAGTGTGAAATGTGTAGGTGGCTTTTACTGCTAAACAAAATAGAAACCACTCAAGTCTGTTTTGAGCCTCAGTTTCAAGTACTTAAAAACTCAGAAGGAAACCAGATCCTTTAGTCTAATACCTGAACAGGAATGCCCTTTACATCATCCCTGACCACAAGTTGGTCATCCAATCTTGACTTGAAGACCTTAAGGGAAGGGAACCTGCTACTTTCCTCAAAAAAGCCTATTCTATACTGGAAGAGCTGGAATTAAGAAGTTAGTTACTGTTATTTTTCCCCTCACAACAAACCCAAATCTGCCTCTTTGAAATTTCTACCCATAGCTCCTAGTTCTGCAGGTAAGTCTGATTCTTCTTCCACAAGCTAGCTCTTCAAATATGTGATAACTTATATGCCCCTGTAACCTCTCAAAATTAAACATTTCAGATTCCTTCAAATGATCCTCATATGGCATAGTTTTGAGGCCCATCCCGGGCACCTTTCTTTGGATATATTACACTTTGGTAGTCTCTTTATTAACATGTGACACTTCAAACTGAATGTTAGTCCACCAGACTATGGGACCGTACCCTCCCTTGTTCTACATACTTTGTTTCTATTAGAACAGTTTAAGACTGCATTAGCCTTTTGGCCACCATGGCCTGTGTTCCCACACTCATGTTAAGGTTGCATTTAAAAAAAAAAAAAACAAAACCTAAACTTTTTTCCCCTCATGCAAACTGTTATTAGACATGCCCTTCCCATTCTATACCTGTAGAAATTTCTTGAACCCAATTGTAGAATTTTATATTTTTTCAATATAAAATTTTATCTTTTTAGATTCTGTCTACCATTCTGGCCTTCTGAGACCTTTTTTTGATCTTGACTTTCAGAGTTTTAGCCCTAAACCATGTATGTAGGTGATTATTGAGATTTGAGAATAAGCACTCCTTTTTGCCACATCTCTAATGTACCATAAACTTGACTTGGAAAGTGGTTAAAGGTATGCTAGAAACAACTCTTTTTTTTTTTTTTGGAAGATGAAAATCAAATTAGATATGAGTATCTAGAAAAATAAAGCTTAATAAAAACTCACAAAACAGTATAAGGATATGGGATGTTATAGACTTAGGAAGGCACAAAACCATGTAGAGTTGAACAGTCTGGCAGCAAATCTCTAGTCTGCACATAAGCCTGGCAGATACTATATATTATCATTCACATGATTTATTTGACCAGTTCTTAATTTCACAAGTCAATGCTACATACACCTACCTATAGGCATATCATTTGCTACTAACACACATGCGTATTTTTTTTTTCTAAATGTGGTTTTTCCAAAGCCCTTTAACAGATGTCAGCTTTGGTAACACTATCATTATTTTTATATCAGTTTATATTTATAATGAAACCAATTTATTAAAGCATATAGTTGTCTTTTTGGTTTGCTCCCAAACTTTGTATTCAAGTGCTTTAAAAGTTTCTTTAAATGTTACAAAAGAAGAAATGCTTCAGTATGTAAAGAAGAAAAATTATAAATTTTAATGTGAAACTTCAAATCTGTTCATGCTTCCAGTCATTCCCCTACAATCCTAAGAGCATTGGTTATATGGTATAAGGCAGAGACTAAAAGTTTGATGTTATGTGATTATAAATGTTTATCTTTAAACACACTGAAAAAGGAACAATTGAGAACACAATATGAATTGGAGTGGGGGTTTTTTATAGACATCTATAAAATATTTGTCTTAAATATCTTTAATATCATGCACAAAAAGAATCTCAGCCAAAATTTTAAAAAGGAACCATAAAATGAGTCAAATTTATAAGTTTTTTAAAGGCTTCAGTAAACTTTTGTATACTTTCCTCTAAGCTCCATCACCCATTTCTTTATTCCTCTGAGCCTGTCGCAGTTATTAAGCAAACATGGTGGATTTGGTGCTCAGGCTTGTGTTTCAGAGGAGGCTGGATACCTATGTGAGTCACAGTGTAATGGGTAAGGTAGTAACAGGAGAATCTGAGAAGCATTTGCAGAAGAAACCAAGAAGATGCCAAAAGCCCTTTCTTTTCTCATTGCAGAGAGAAAGGAGAGTGCAGCCTTTAAACAAGGTTGAATTCCCTCAGATTTAACTGTAGAATAGTGTCTTTGACTGCTGCAAACACAAAGCGGATGTTTTCTGTGTCAGTAGCACATGTGAAGTGGGAATAGATAACTTTCTCTTTGTCAGGATTCTGGTCTTGATAAAGCTTCAAGATGAAGTCTCTGGCAGCTTTGACATCCTGTTTAGGTCCTAGTCAGAGGCAATAATCATGGATATTAGGAAAGTGAGAGACATACTGGACCATCCTTAGAGAACATCTATTTTCAAACTTTTGAGCCTGAAAACCCCATAACTGTTAAAGTTATTGAGGGCACCAAAGAGCTTTTGTTTATGTGGATTATATCTATCAAAAATAACTTTTTAGAAATTTAAGTTGATACATTATTTAAAATATTTGCTAATTTACTTAAAATAACAACAATCCCATTACATTTTAACAAACTTTTTATGACAATAACTATACTGTCTTCCCCCTGCCCCCCCAAAAAATTAGGAGAAAAATAGCAATATTAATTTGTAGTGGTCCCAGTTGGCATAGTTTCATGATTTTTTCCTAGTTGCCTTCAGTAGCACACTTGTAGGAATGAAGACAATGGACGGTAGGAGTAAGCCATGGCTGAGGTTTGGCATAGCAAGATCAGTGATATGATAAGAGGGCAAGGGATTTAATTAAAAAAAGATACTGTAGAGTTGACACTATTTCACCCAAGGGTCAAGAAAAAGGAAGTGACATAGGAAGTGTAGGTGATGGCCTAGGAAAGAACAATGAGTTCAGAGATTAGAGATCACTGGGGGTGAGGAACAGGTTTGGGCTTTTAAAGCACAGAGATAGGTGGAATAACAATAGATTGTGGTAAGATAAAGGGAATTTCAGAGTGCTTGAATGTAGAATTGGTGCATTTGAGGGCTATGGCAAGATCAAGGCTATGGCCATCTTTATGTGTGGCTGAGTTAGGGTGGGGAAGTAGGTCATAAAAAATGAGTTGAGGACCTGCATGTTTATATTTTGTCTGAGGGAGTATCAATATGCACGTTGAAGTCCCATCCCCGTTCTCCGCCCCCCCCCACCGGGCAGGAATTGAGAAGGAGAAGAAGACTGTGAGCTGGACTGAACTCATTAAGGAAAAAAGGGGAGTGTCCTGAAAGTTAGAGGAAAACAGCTATTAGAATTTGGATTGGGTGGCAGCTGTGGATTGAGTGAACTCCAAAGGAGAAGTTACTGAATGGTGGCAGAGAGAGTGAACCCTCTATCAGGCTTCTCAGACTTATTGCAATTCTACTGCAGCGAGTGTTGGAGATGGAGGCCAAGGAGCCTGTGGCATCAAGAGGGAGCCAGATCTCAGTGAGAGCAAAAAGGTAGATGGAACGGTAAAGGAAAAGATGCAGGCTTGTTGATTATGGAGCAGGCATTCTAGAAAGCACAGTGGAACAGGTAAGTAGCTTTCACATAGAGAAGGGGGTGGGCTGAGGAGAATAAGGGAACAAGCAGTGGGGGAGAGGAGGTGCAGGCAGGAATCAGTGACTAATGCTCTTAGGTGCATTTTCACTAGTCCTAGGGTGGATTCTTTCAGGGCCTTAAATAGTCGAGGCGAGGGGCATGGTAGTTTAACCAACTATGAATTCAACTAGTTAGGATCTGGGCCACGTTTCTCCTCACCTGCCTCGTCCTGATACCCTTGTTTAAGACACAAAAAACAGAGAATCAACTGAATTTAGTTGGGCAGCATTGATTTTAGCGAACCCATGGTAATAGGTTCCTTGTGATCACTACTTGTTTTTCTGCATGCTCATAATATGGCAGTTGAATAACACTCCAGAATTTTGCTGGGGATTTACATGAAGCTCAGTGGTTTGTAGTCTCTAGAAACCTTTCTCACCCCTTTGAAAATACTTGCCCACCTCCTATTTTTTGGGCCATCTCTTGTTTCGCACATTTTCTTAAATATTAACAAGAATAGCTCTGTGACAATCTGAAAGTTCTTTATGTACTCGGGGATTCCTTGGGACGTGGAAACCTGAACTCATTTAAATAGCTCATTACGCACTCATTATCTCATTATCCTCACTTATTGTGAACTTCAACAGCTCCTTGACCAAGTTTGTTCTTCCCCTCCAGTCTGAAAATCCTTCATGATGGAGAAGAAGGAGGCAAAACGGAACAAAGCAGTTCAGCTTTTTTCCTCATCCGAGCCCCCATGATGTGCGCTTTGTAATTCTAGGATTGGAATTATCTCATTCTGCTTTATGTTAGAATAGGCAACAGAAAGATGAGATCACAGATTTAGAGCCGAAGTGAACCTGAGTTCATCTAGTCCAACCCCTTTATTTTACAGCTAAAAAGAGGCCCAGAAAAGTTAGGTGGTATGTGTGTGTATATGTACACATGTACACATTTATACATCTGTTATTTGAATTATAAATATTTATGTTGTATATAATACATAAATTATATAAATTATAAATATAACCAGTTATTAAATAATACTGAAATCTAATCACATTAAATAAATTTTATTAAATACTAATTTTATATTTAATAAAATATTATTTAATATTAAACATTATTTGATAAAATTTGTTTTGATATTAAATTTTGATCTTTATGATTTAATTTAAATGTGATTATATAACATTTCTATATATTTGATATATTTAATGCTGGTCACCCTCTTGACTTCATATTGGCAGAAGTACCTAAGGAGAGAAACTCACACATTTGACTCTTAAATAGTAGGAAATGAACCAAAGGAGCAGGATCACACAGGACATTATTAAAGAATGGTACACTGGATTTGGAGTCTGGAAGGCGTGGTTTCATATCTCACCTAAGACCCTTACTACTGTGTCACCCAGGGTAAATCACTTAACCTGTCTGTCTGGGCTTCAGTTTCCTTATCTGTAAAATAAGATGTCTGGGATCCTATGATCACCTCCTAGAAGGTCAAGATTTACAGCATTAAACTTTAATCCTTTTGAAACAAGAAGCTATTTTTTCATTTTTCTACTGCTGCTTCTATCCAGGTATCTCCCCTCTACTTCAAGTGGTAGGCCAACAAAAGCAAGTAAACATGGCCTTTTCCACTGGATAGAAATGATTCTGGTACATTTTCCAAGGTCTTCCCTGTGCTCACACAGTTGACTGCACACCCTATTGTTTGCCTCTACAAAAACTCTGACCTGTTTTTCAGCCCCAAACCAATCGCACCAGAAAAGAAGTAAGAGAATAGGTTGTTTGGCCAAGTCTTGGTAAACATAATAGATGGCTTAACTTGTGATATTAGAAGAGTAATCCAAGACACTCTAGGGCTTAAGGTTGAATTTCCTTCCTCCTACACTTTGTTTCATCCTGAAAATTCCAACATATATGTTGTATAGCAACAAGCCCCTTGACTAATTTCATTGTTATGCTCACTTTCTTTCCTTCTCTGGGGGATGCCGTTAGATGCTCTAATGTCAACCTCAGTACCCAACAAACAGCCCCTGTAGAGAGGTCATGTTACACAATAAAGCAAGGGGCAGAAAAGAGCAGCATTCTAGAATTCCATTTCTAGAGGACCTTAGGGCATATAGATGTCCTGTGGCCATCCTTATCTCGGCATACCAGATCATTACTGGTACTGACAAATGGTTGTTTGGAGTCAGAGAACCTTGCTTCAATTGCCCTTCTGCCTGTTCTAGCTGTATGACCTTGAGCAACTCATTTCATCTGGGCCTCACTTTCATCACCTGAAAGAATTGACCTCAAAGGTCCCTTCCAATTTTAGATCTAAGGTCCTATTTTTTTTAAGACTCTAAATGATAAAGCAGCCACATCTGTCCTACAGTAAGCAGTGACCACTGTCTACCACCCCCCTGCGGAAGCAAATGGAAGGAAAGATAACGTGACGCATTAAAATGTAACCAGCAAGCTGGGTTAATACACTTATAAGCATGAATTCTTGTATACTACGATCATAGATTCTTACCTGTGTATTCTGGGAAATAGCTGATAAGATGGGAGTACATGATTTTCTCCTCTAAAAGATCTTTTTTGTTTAAGAACAAAATCACTGATGAGTTCAGAAACCAGGGGTAAGTGATGATGGTTTTAAATAAGGCTTTACTCTCTTCCATGCGATTCTGTGTAGAAAATAGAGACCTTGATATTAAGCTGAAGAAAAGAGGAACAATATTGAATTGACATGCCCACACATGTTTCCATCTCCCCAAGTAAACCACCACCATTCAGGCACCACCCCTCCCAATCCCGAGGTCTTGGGGTCACTGCCAAGTACATGTAAAGAACATTTACTATCATCTCTGTTCCAAGGAGATAAACAAAGAGGAGAAGCAAAAAATGATAAAGAAGGTCAATAGGCCATTATCTCATATCCCCACAAGGCCTGTTTTTCCCCATTTTTCTCTGCCATCCTCTTCACCATCTCTTTGCCATCTCGCTATCTTGCTGCTCCCCTTCTCAGTCTGCCCTTTCCACATAAACCCCCCATTTCTGTCTTTATACCATGAACATAAATCTAAGAAAACTGAAGAGTTTTGTGCAGTTTTGCACTTAACAAAAGTATTCTTTGTTCTTTTACATAATAATTATTGTGTTTGTCATGAGAAATCAATAGGATCCCAATCATAGTCAACCATTTCAGGTGGCAAGGTCATTTAGGTCAATGACCATGCCAAGTGCATACACTCTGCACATGTAGGCATGTATCAACCCATCAAGCATTTATTAAAGCAGCAAACAATCCCTACTCGCAAGGAGCTTACCTTCTGTTGTAGGATACAGCTACATGGGTCAGCATGTACATACTAAATACGAATTAGATAAATACAAGGTAGCTCGGGAGGGGTGGGATCAGAAAAGACTTCACAGAGAAAACGGAGACGTTCTCCAGGTAGTGGTATTAATTTATCAGTGCTAGACAATGAAAGAGATAGGCATCTCAAAAGATCATAGTCTGTGCCATGGGAAGCTGGCTGGATCCATTCTAAAAGAAAGATAAAAATGGCCCATCTTTATGGTGATCAACTGGACTTAAACAAGGCTTTGTTTTCTTCCATGTTTTTCCATGAAAAGGAAAGGAAGGAACTTGGAACTTGTAAAAAAAATTTAAAGCACATTGTTATAGCATAGATTGATGAGTGATTCAAAGGACTAAAAAGCAACATTGTACTCAAGAACTCTCCATTTGAGGCCTCTGAAAAATGAGTTAGGAAATATTTTTGCACTTCCTAACATCAAAACTTAAACAGTTGTCTTAAGAACAGAGGTCTTTAAAGAAGTTTAATGCTTAGTTTCCACAGAAAAACCGAGCAATTTCACAAAGCAATAAGGGGACTTCTGAGAAATAAGGCTTTAAGCAGGTTTGTCATGTTTAGGGTTTAGCTGAAGTAGAATGAAGAAAAGCTCTTACTCTTTTAAACAAATAAAACCAAATTGGGATACTGATTGGTTTAAAAGATTTTATGGAAAGAAACTGATTTAATCAATAGCAAAACCTTGGCATTGTGTGTGAAGGCTCTACCACTCTGAATAAAGCTCGCAGAAGTTCATGGGGGTATGGGATTAGAGAGGGGCAAGACTGTGCCCTATAGAACAGCAGCCGTTTTCCCTCCACGTGGTGATGTGACATGGTATTATATGTGTGGCATGACAAAACATAGACGTGACAATTGTGGTAGGTGTACCCCATAGGTATGCCGTGTTGCTAATGTGGCATGTGTGACATAGGTATGCTGGCATATCATCATACAACATGGTATAGAAGATAACATGTATAATAGCATATGACAGCATAATGTATAACAGTATATAGTATAACACAACACAATGTAACACCCTGATAGGGGATAGTCAAAAAGCTTTGTCACCCCATCACAGTCTTAAGGCCTCTTACTGTGAGTACTGAGCATTTAATACCCATCAATCTCCTTTTGCCTTGGTTAAGCCTTGAGGATGGCATCATGGTTTTATTATCTTTTGGGTAAAGTTTGGTGCCTACTAGAGTGACGGGAATGTTGGGACAGTGTTGTCATACTTCAGGACACCATTTTGCAGGGACATTTTCAAATGATACAGGACTCACAAGGAAAAAACAAATCAGGAATACAATTGAGGCCATATGGCAAAATGGATGGCTTGTGTCAGACTTGGAGTCAGGAAGACCTGGATTCAAATCATACCATTGACACTAGCTATGTGACAAAGCAAATCACAACCTTTTTGAATCTTAATTTCCTTATCTATAGAATAGAGAAATAATATCTGGTACACCTCTCTCAAAGGAGAAAATCTACAAAATTTTGTAAACTTTAAAGCCCAATATCAATGTCATTCTCTGAGAGGTATTTTGGTTAATGCTCTGAGGGCTGAGGGAAAGAGGAAGAACATGAAGATGACCTATGAATTTTTGGGGGGGGGCTAAGCAATGGGGTTAAGTGACTGGCCCAGGGTCACACAGCTAGTAAGTGTCGAGTGCCTGAGGTTGGATTTGAACTCAGGTCCTCCTGATTCCTCTGGTGCTCTATCCACTGCATCACCCAGCTGCCCTGATCTATGAATTTGACAGAAAAATCTACACTGGGAAAAAGGGACTGCAATGAACCCTGGGAATGCTTTCACATGAATGAGCACAAAATGCCAAAGCTTCTTCAAGCCTTGCTCCAGGAGAACTGAGAGGTTTGGGTGTGGTGGTGTCAGATAGCAACTAGAAGTCTGGATGATCCTCCCTAGAAAAGCTTGAGCTAAGTAGCTAAGAAGACCCACTGGAGTCTTTTCTTTGAGGGCCTATCTCAAAGTGTATCTAACCTCCCTGGGGCAGAGCTAAAACAGTCTCCATATTTATAGTGATCATGTTTTCCAAACCAAAAATCAAGACACATGTTTTGATGAAGGATATTTGTTTTGTAAAACTTTGTTTAAAATATATTTCATTTCACTTCTGGGGGTAGAGTCAAAATGGCAGAATAGAAAAAGCACTCAGCTGAGTTCTTCCAACATTCCCCTCCAAACAATTTCAAAATAATCTCAAATCTAATTCTGGAGTGGCAGAGCCAACAAAAGGTCAGAATGAGATATTGTTCTAGCCCATGACAACACAGAATGTTGAAAAAAAGATACCTGTGAAAGGGGAGGAGGCTGGCCCGGGGCCACATGGATGAAAAGTGATGGGACTAAGTGGTAGTGGTAGCAGGAGCAGATTCAGGAGCTCTGAAGTCAGAGAGTAAGGGGATCTTGCAAATGGTCAAAAAGATTACAAAGGATAGCACTAGAAATAGGACCAGACCAGTTTAGCAACTGCATTGTGTATACCCACTTCTGGGTCATAGTTCAAGGGCAGAGAAGAGAACTTTCAGTCAAGAGGGAGTAGGAGCCCTGAAGACCCAAGGGATTAGAGACCCTGAAGAATAGTATGATTTCTAGTCCCAAGTGGGGCAAAGGGGTATGTGTGAAGAGCAGTACCAGTTACAATCCCAAGGAATTAGGGGCCCTTCCTTGGTAAGGACAAGAGTGCAAACCAAGAGAGTAGTGAACATACCTCTCCCCAGATCACATCACCTTGGAAGCACCAAAAACTTCCAAACCCCTAGAACTAGCTCTGAAAAGAGCAGTGCAAAAAAGCCTAAAGCTTGAGGCTGTGCCAGTTGCCCCCTGCCTCCCAGGAAATGGACCCCAATATTAACATAAATTTCTAAGTCAAGAAATTGGGTGGGGAAATGAGCAACAACAACAAAAAGGAACCTGACCATAAAAAGCTACTGCGGTAACAAGGAAAATCAAAACACAAACTCAGAAAAAAGACAATGAAGTCAAGACAGCCACAAGCAAAGCCTCAAAGAAAAATGTGAACTGGAAAAAAATCCAACAAGAAATCCTAGAAGAGCTAAAAAAGTAGCTTGAAAAACAAGAGTGGTAGAGGAAAAATTAGGTATAGAAATGAAATTAAAGAAGAAAATTATGAAAAGAATTAACATTTTAGTAAATGAGGCATAAAAAATATTGAAGAAAACAATACCTTAAAGAACAGAATTGGCCATATAGAAAGACGCACAAAAACTCACTTATGAAAATAACTCCTTAAAAATTAGAATTGGGCAAGTGGAAGGTGACTCCATGAGACATCAAGAAACAATAAAACAAAATCAAAAGAATTTTTTTTTGTGTAAACTTATCTCACTGGGGGGAAAAACTGACCTGGAAAATAGATCCAAAAGAGATAAGTATCGTGAGGGAAGGAGAGAATTTGGAACTCAAAATTTTAAAAAGTGTTAAAAAAAATTTTACATGTAATTGGGACATAAGAAATAAAATAATTTTTTTAAATATATTTAATTGAAATCATTTTTAAAATATATTTAATTGAAATCAAAAGTGTTCTGCAAAATCTGAGACATGTGTCCACTATATCTTAGTTCCCATCACCAAAAAAATTGTCCCAGATTTAAAATACAGTTCTATTCCCTCTCCTAAGAAAAGCAGCATGACTTAGGAGTACCTTCACATCTGCATCTTGTAGAGCCTTTTTGAGGGGCCATTGTTTGAATAAATTTAAGCCCACCCTAAATTATTAAACCCAAGACCCATCTATCACCAGGATATATCTGTTTTTCACTTTCTTTTAGGAGTAATTCTTTTTCAAAGCCATTCACATTTTCTATCTAGCTTACCTCATTGTCACACTCAGCCAAGACTTGATCATATTCACTCAGAGCTACTAAGAAAATGATGGAGGTGACACTTTCAAAACAGTGGATCCATTTCCGTCTCTCAGACCTCTGGCCTCCAACATCCACCATCCTGCCCAATAGAAACACAGAACACAATGCTGAGAGTACACAGCTCTTCATTCTTTACAGAAAAGTTTTTGTTCATTGGAGTAAAGAAATGTTTGAACACCTCCTTCAGCAAATTTCCTTAATCTTAATTCTAGACGGGGTCTTCATTGATACAAGAAGTTTTGCCCTTGCAAATGACCATAGCCCCACTATGAACTCCACAGTGATGGAGCTATAAGTATTGAATTTCCATTTAGGAACTATTTATGGCCCTTCAGATACTCAGTCTCCCAACATACAGTCTCAGAGTTGGAAGGGACTTCTAAAGCCATCTACTCTACCAATACATGACCAAGAATATTTTGTAGAATATCCCCCCAAAGTGGTCATCCAGAGTCTGCTTTAAGACTTCCTGTGAGGGGAAACTACCATCTAAGTGAAGAACTCTATCTGCCCCAGTACCAATCCTTCCCTTCACTTCTCAGTCACCAGCTCCAAACTACGCAGTCTCCTTTCTTGCTAAGATGTCCACTTCCTCCCCACAGGAACCTTGGATTCTACTCCTGGAACTTAGGCTCCAATGGGTAACCAACCTTATCTTGCTCAGAACTAGGTGTATCTTCCGCTATGCCTTGCCTCAAGAAGACAAGCTCCTTGAGGGAAGGGACTATCTTGTTTGCTATAGTAATTGTATCCCCAGCATTTAGCACAGAGCCTAGTACATAATAAGTGCTTTACACTTACAATAAGCCTCTTTACAACTTTCATCTACAGCTCCTAGTCCTATTCTGGGGCACCAAGAAGAATAAGTTTAATCCAAAAACACACGAGGTCATAGTTCCACTGACTACCATACCAACCTTTTTCTGGAGTACTCTGTTCAGTTTGAGGTACCACATTTAGGAAGGGAGCTGATAAGTTGGAAAGCACCCAGAAAAGGAAAAACACAATGATGAACTGCCTCAGCATAATATATGTGTGGTTTGTCCTTCGTTCTCAAAGAGGACCATGACATCAGGAAGATGATGAATTGGATTTAAATGAGGAAGGTCTGTGCAAAGTCACCAGCCTCACTTTCTCCTCCAGAGCCATTTGGTTCCAGTGGCCAGAAATAGATCAAGATGACTGAAAATGGCCCAGGATGCAATGGGAGGCCTTGACCTTTTAAAGCTAAGGTCTTTGTGAGTTCTCACTTTGACTGAGAGTATGCACGTTCAGTGAATAGGCCTATTTAAGAAGTGAGGCAAGGATGGTCCCTTCAGTCAAAAAACAAAAAAACTGGGAGGGGAGGACCCTCAGGGTTGCTGGCTAAAAGAGGAACAATTACTGTATCTATCTCTCTCTATATATACATGTGTGCGTGTGTGTGTGTGTGTGTATAGACACACACACACACACACACACATATATGTAATAGTTTACCTGTCTGGAATAATTTACCTGTCAGATCTATGAATAAGGGAAGAATTTATGACCAAAGAAGATATAGAGGGTATTACTAAATATAAATGAATAATTTTAATTACATTAAATTATATGAAGTCCATTCAAGGAACTTAATATGTTTCACCTGAAGGAGAAAAGAGGGACATAGTTGCAGTCAAATATTTAGAACTGTCTCATGCAGAAGAGGACTTAAACTTATTTTCATTCCTTTGAGGGCAGAACCTATTACTCAATAGGTAGAAGTTGAGGAAAGGAAAGTTTCCTTTTGATTCTTAACAATCAGAGTTGTCCAAAATGAAATGGACTGCCTTGGAAGACAATCGGATCCCCCTCTCTAGAGATGTTGAAGCAGAGACTGAATGAACACATCAGTGATGCCAGAAAGATGATCCCCTTCAGGCACAGGCTGACTTTGGATCAGATTCAGAGCCAGAAGAGGCATCAGAGAACATTTAGTTCAACTTCATTTTACATATGAGGAAATGGTTGGCCTGGGGAAGTGCAATAATTTACCCAACATCACAGGTAGTAATTATAAAGAGTTAAGATTTGAAAGAGTAAGGTCCTTAATCTCCAGAGCCAGTTTTCTTCCCAATGGACCATGGTGCCTCTTAAGGCTCCTAATGACCTTTCCACCCCTGAGATTCTGTGATTCTGTAATCCTTATTCCACACGACAGTCCTTCAAATACATATAGCCAGCATGCTATATTTATACACTAACCCTATTCATACTCAGGTCAAGTTGTTAATTTCCTTCCTTTCCTCACTGTTATACATTGTTGTTCCTGGGGAAGAAGTGTTACAGTTGGTGGTAAGCTAAGCCCTAAAAATTGTTTTCCAGAAGCATAAAATGCTCCAACATTTGGAATTGATTTCACTCACATTTACCAATGCAGTGGCTTCAACTCCACCTATTCTTCCTTTCTGTTCATTCATTCAGTAAATACTAAGTGCTTACTACATGCCCAGCGTTGTGACAGACACTAGTAAGTCCCTGGCTCAATTACCTTGCAACTTAACCGGGGAGACAGGCAAACATATGAAAAAAGAGGGTGTTATGAAAGAGACCCAGGAGTCATAATGTGTTCCCTGAAGACACTGGACCAATGTGATTTTATAACCAAAGAAAGCCAACAAAATACTGGGCGTTGTCAAGAATAATAATGGAGACGAAACAGGAAACACCATCCTCCGCGAGTACAAAACCATCGTATATCCAGACCTGGAATACTGAATAAAGTTCTGATGACTAGTTCATGGGCCTGGAGGTGGACAGGCCTCAGAGGTCATCTAGTCCAACACTCTCATTTTATAGTTGAGAGAACTGAGGCCAAGGGAAATTTTGATTTTTGAAGGCGAGTGATTTACCCAAGGTCATGCAGGTAGTGTCAGAAGCTGGATTTGAACAAGAATTCTCTGACTCTAGAGATGACACACAATGCTTCAAGTTTTGTTCTTGAAATAGCTTGACTGTGAAAAGGAAGGAAACCAGCCAAGTTTAAAGGGGGGGGAGAATAATGATGTATGTCAGAAAGGAATTTTGTCTTTTCTCTAAATGAGAAAAAGCATCAGTTGTCAAAATAGTCAATTAAGTAGTCAAAGAAATAACAGCATCTAGTACATGAGCAGCCTATAGTATTTACAGGAAAAGGGGATGTAGCTCTGTAACAACAATGAAAAAGTGAATTCTATTTCTCAGGGACTTTTGTTTCTTCCCAAGTCCTACCTCATTTTGGAATTATCCTATGGCAAATCTCCCAGTCCCTGCTTCCTTGGTTGATAAGGGGCACTAAGAGGCAATATGATATAGTGGGTAGGACATTGGACTTGGACTCAGGAAGCCTTAGCTTCAAATCCTACCTCAAACAAATAGAAAATGAGAGGGTTAGACTTTACAGCCTCTAAACCCCTTTCCTGCTTTAAATCTATGATCCTATGATGCTGTAAATACTATCCGAAGGCCATGAAACACCTTAGGGAGCATTAATGAGTTTCACGTTCTTGGGCACCATTTTAAAAAACCACCAGTGACATTTACAGATTCTTAACAGGCAACTCAGATAAGGTCACTGTCTTACCGAAAGACGATATTTTCTAAATCAAAGGGATATTCAATAATTCCAGTTGTAGGCACTCGGACACGGAGAACATCTTGTTGTGTTGGCACAAATGATGGCATAGCAATTCGATCAATATCACTCAAGTAACTGTAAGGTGAAACAAAGGTGAGCTGAAATATATTTTCAAGGAATGTCCTATTGTCAAGCAAGCTGTCTTCCTACTAAACAAATACTCTCTTCTATAAATCATAGCACTAAACCTCATGCATGATCTTTAAACCCCACCCTCCAAATGACTTTCAGGAAGAAGATGGGATACGTCCCACCTTCAAGGGAACTTACAAATTATTCAGTTTATTGTCTCTGGATCCTAGGTAGATAACTATGTAATTTTAACAACCATTAATTAAGTGACTATTACGATACTTGTCAGAATTGAGGCCTCATTCCTCAGTGGGTTGGGGTTAAGGTAGGATGGTAAGCAGGGACATTTTTGCTTTTGAAAAATATATTTAAAATATATACACATATGTATATAGAATATGTACATATTTATGTGTGTATATACATATGTGTGTATATATATGTATATATATAATATGTGTATGTGTAATATATGTGACTGTGTTTGTCTTATTTGACACTCTGAGTCTTTCACCTCTCTATCAGGAAGTGGGAAGCATGTTTCATCATTAGTCTTCTGGAATCATGGTTGGTCATCATACTGATCGGAGTTCCCAATTCCTTCAAAGTTTTGTTTGTCTTACTATGTTGTTGTTACTGTATAAAGTGTTTTGGTTGTGTTCACTTCACTCTGTATCAGTTCATATAAGTTTCTAGGTTTCTCTGAAATCAAACCATTATTTCTTAAATAGCATAATAATATTCCATCATAGTCACAGTCATTTCCCAATTTATGGGTACCACCTGAGATTCCCATTCTTTGCTACCTCAAAAAGAGCCATACATATTTTAGTAATCCTTTGTTTGCTTAGGACTAATGCCTCCATTAATCTACCCTCCATATAAATCCCTCTTTTCCCTCCCTATTTAGTGAAATGTATTTCTATATGTAACTCTGTGTGTGTGTGTGTGTGTGTGTGTGTGTTCTCCCTGCTTTGAACAGTCCAGATGAGAGTAAGGTTCAAGTGTCATCTGCTCCCTCCAGCCCCCTCCTTCCTGATTTGTATAGACGTCTACTTGTACGTGATGATAATGTGAGATGATTTCCCCTAATTTTTCCCCCTCACCCTGTCCTCTTTCCATTCATCTCAAGATCATGAAGACCTAAAACCACTCCCGGCCTTCTGTCTCACTAGACTCCTTCTATGACTCCTGGTGATGACAGAATTCAGAAAGAACAATATAATATCATCTCCTCATATTTGAATATGAGGATATGAATATCCTTGTTTAGTCCCTAATGATTATTCATTCATGTTTACCTTTTCATATTTCTCTTATCTCCCATGTTTGAATTTCAAAGTTTCTACACAGCTCTGGCCTTTTCTTCAGATGTGTTTGGAAGTCCTCTATTTAATCCTCTGCAGAATTATACTCAGTTTTGCTGGGTAAGTGATTCTTGGCTGTAAGCCTATATCCTTTGCCTTCTGGAATACTGTATTCCAAGCTCTCCTCTTCTTCACACTGATAGGTGCTAAATAATGTGTGATCTTAACTATGACTACTTGGTACTTGAATTCTTTCTGGCTGCTTGCAGTATCTTTTCTTTGACCCTGAAGCTCAGGATTTTAGATATAATATTCTTGGGAGTTTTCATTTGGGGTGACCAATAGATTCTATTTTCACTTTTGTTCTAAGAAACATAGGCAGTTTTCCTGTTTTATGGGATCTTATATTTTCTGAATCTCTCAGTCAAATGTGTAACAGCAAAAATATGGCTTTTCATTGAAAACAAGTTATGAAAACCTACCTGTTACCTTCTAATTTTTTTCACTAAGAATACCATCAACACTTTGTACATTATTCTCATAAATACTTTTAAAATTGAAAAAGCAGGCATATAGCTGAGAAGTTATTGATGTAATTCCAATCTTCTTTTGAATATTAACATTATCTATGATGTTTTCCATTCTTTTTTGTATCTTCCTCATCCTGAGATAAATTATAAAATGACCTTTCAAGATTATGTCACCTTCCTTGTTTTACTCCATTTGCTTTTCCTGAATTTATCTCCTTAACTGCCATTTCAACTTATGTGTATAACATATTGGGGACAAAAGTGTTAGTGTCCAAATGCAGGACATTACAGTTAATAATGAAAATATTAAAGAAATTATATGCATTCCACTTTCCATTTATTTGTTGGCTCTGGTCCAGTTTCATTTTTGAACCTGTTTTATATGCTATGGCTTGGCTTAGTCTAATACAAAGTTTTCATTAGTCTTGTTTGCTTCCAGTGACTTTCATTTTATGAGTTAATGTTGATCATCTTCTGCCATCCACTGGGGAGGAAAGATAGTCAAGGTAATAAGGAAATATTTCGAGAATGGTGGTTACATTAAAGTATCTGGAAAGACTGGAGAGGCAGTCAAGTGAAATTGGAGCAAGATTGAGAATACAAGGAGTAGTCAAGGAATCAAAGGTCATAATTAGCTAAATAACAGGTAATGCCAGTAGGTGGAAGGAGAGAAAATTATTTTCAGAGGCTAGTACTTCAGTGTTTTGAATCTTGGTGGTAAAAGTGAGGCTTAATGTATATGGCTATGCTGCTGTCAAATTGAAATGGGGGAAGAGATGAGAAAGATGAAGTTAGGGGCATTATTAAGGTCATCGACAAAATATTAATCTCACTTCAACTCTCTTTGTGTGTGAGATTCATTTCTTCCTTTGTAATATGGGGTTGGACTAGATGCACTTTTAGGTCCCTTCTATCTTAAACATTCTATGGGTGTAGAGTTTCTTTCTTCTTCCTTGGCACTTCTCACTTGTTCATCAAGTAGCATACTTTGGCTGGTTAGTGTGATGGCTCAAAAGGAAATGAAATATTGTGCGTAGGTTGGTTTGGTATTTTTTTCTGCTCTTTTTGGTTGCCCCGGACACTCAGGCACACCTGGTTTCACATATGCTTTCTCCTCCTTTCTTTCCCCTCTCCTACCCTCCATCATCCATAACTTTCATAACATGAATAAATTTCCACACAAACAATAACAGATAGGCTTTACCCTCTTTTGGCTTGTGTATACACAAAACAAAGCCTCTAGGGGCAAAAAAAAAAAAAAGGACAAAGTGCCCACATGTAGACACACGAGGAAAATCCAAAGTGATTTTCCAACTAAACACATTACAAATTTTAAAAGAACAGTGAAACAAATATTCAAAACCCATCATCTGAATTACTGACTTTGGTGTCTCAACTCCAGACTTCAAAATATAATTAATTTTCTATGTGGTAAAATTGGAGAATATATTTCCTCCATCTGGAAAGTCCCCTTTAACAAGATGAATGGAGAAATTATGCTTTAACTCCTGGATCTAATAAAGATTAGTGTGTGAACTATGAGTCACTGCTATAAATCTGGTCTTTCCTCCTTTCTTCTCTATACAACATACCCAGAATGGGACAAAATGGGATGTGATGATGAGAAATGTTCTAATCTTGCTGTATGGTTAATGAGAATCCTCTTGCTACCCTCCACATTTCTTCCCCCTTTTACTTCTATTGGTGGAATGGTACCTGTGCCAAAGTTTTCCCATTGGATTTGTTGATTGTTTAAAAAACAGCCTGCCACATTTTTAGCAGTTGAGAAAATGTTCATTAACTCTCAACTTGCCAGCATCCTAGTAATAACTTATTCATTGGGATCCAGAATGTGAGAATGGTTAGAAGTGGTATCATGGTTGCTTTTTAATTTTTTAAATATTGCTTATTTTTAACATTCCATTGAAAAATTTTCAGTTCCAAATTCTTACCCTCCTTTCAGGCTTTCTCCATCAGATGATAAGGCAAGCAAGATGATATATATTAGAGATGTAAAACCATGCAAAACATGTTTCCATTGCTATGTTGCAAATTTTTTAAAACCCACAAGAATAAGAAAGTGAAAAAATGCTTCAATCTGAATTCAGAGTTCATCAGTTCTCTAGAAATGGACAGCACTTTTCATCATAAGTTCTTTGGAATTGTCATAGGTCACTGGATTGATCAGCGTAGCTAAATCTTTCACAGCTGACCATCATTACAATATGCTCACTTCAATTTGCATCACTTCACATAAATCTTCCCAGGTTTTGTTTTTTTTTTTAAAACCATCCTGCTCATCAGTTCTTTTTAGCACAATAGTATTCCATCACAGTCATACACTATGACCCATTCAGCCATTTTCCAACTTATGGGCATCTCTTGAATTTCCAATTCTTTGCCACCACAAAAAGTTGATATGTGTGTGTATATATTTGTACTATGGGTTCTTTTCCTTTTTCTTTGATCTTTTTTTTGGGGGGGGATATAGATTTAGTATCAGTATTTCTGTGTCAAAGAGTATTCACAGTTTTATAGTCCTTTGAGTATAGTTCCAAATTGCTCTACGAAATGGTTGGACCAGTTCACAATTCCAAAAATGAATCATTGTCTCCATTTTCCATATCCCCTCCAACATTTGTTATTTTCCTTTTCTATTGTGTCAGCCAATCTGATAGGTGTAAAGTGGTACCCCAGAGTTCTTTTAATTTGCATTTCTCTAATTATTGGTGATTTGGAGCATGCTTTCATATGACTATAGATAGTTTTTATTTCTTCATCTGAAAACTACCTGTTCATATTCTCTGACCATTAATCAATTGGGGAATGGTTCTTATTTTATAAATTTGATTCATTTCCCTATATATGTGAGAAATGAGATCTTTATCAGAGAAACATGCTATAAAAATTCCACATATCACCCCTCCCACCCAGTTTCCTGCTTTCTTCTAATTATGGCTGCATTGATTTTGTTGGTGCAAAACCTTTTTTATTTCATGTAACCAGAATTATCCATATTACCCCCCATGATTCTCTGTGTCTCTTGTTTGGTCATAAACTCTTCTTTATCCACAGATCTGACAGGTACTTTTTTCCATCCTCCTCCAATTTGCTTATATCACCCTTTATATTTAAATCATATATCAATTTTGACTTTATCTTGGCA